CATTATCTACAAAAATGGCCCCTACCATTTTTTTCGCAAGACGAATATTTTTTACAAAAACGACCTTCGAAAAAGCCCGAATTTTTGCACTGAATAGAAATGTTAGTTTCTCACTGAATTTCCGCTCGAGGGAGTTGGGAATACATTGATTTTCATGTTTTGGACTTTGGACACCAATTGTAGATGGCGCTAGCGGCGTACCTCTGCTCACTAAATTATGGGGCCTATGAATGGAAATCCAGGCACCAATCGATCTTTCGACAATTATTGGCGGATTCCACGGGATTTGTTCTGTAAAGTAACGCTTGGGGTATCTCATCTATATTGCCGAATGTTCTGTGTAATTTGCGTTGCAAAATTTAATAGAAAAGTGCAAAAAAAATTTTTTTTCATGTGGCAGTCTCAAATCCCGGCGCTTTGCCTAATAATGGGTTACTAGTTTTAGAGTGTGATGAATATTGACCCGAGAAGACCCTTTATATTTTCTGTGTCTTTTACAAAATTTTCGCCAACTTCTATCGGAACAATATAGGTCCAGGATTTCAGAAAAATAAGAAAGTTTCTGAAAAATGTCTTTTTTTATGAAAAACATGTTGAAAATACGAAATACATAGCAATGCTTATAATTTATCATACGTTAAACCATTCCATGTCATCAGAATCATACTCTTCATCGGCTTGCTCTTGCTCTATTCCTTCCCCTCCTCCACGCGTCCCTTCCCCTTGTTTTTCCAACCCCTGTATTGCTCTCTCGACACCTATTTCATCCTCCTCCCCTTCAACCCCTTCTGGGTCTCGATCCATCTCTAATTCTTCCGGGAAAATATCTTCATTTTTGTTATAATTAAAACACTGTGTCGACTGACACGAACCACAGACAGGCGATCATTTTAGTCCGGCTTTCAAACATGAACAATTCTTCTCGCAGCCTGTCTTGCACTGACAAAAAATCATCTTCAAGAGTTCCGGGGGGGCCGGATCCCTTGTGATCTGCACCGGTAGCAGTATATCTTCTGCACGTTTCCATCCCCATTCCTCTGATGGCAGTTCGTTTCCAAGCCATTTCTGCACTTGTTAATATACCCTATAAAAGTGCTGCCCAGCAGCTTCTTGGGTAGGGGGTAAGCATTCTAGTTTTATCGCAGTCTTGTTTTGGGCCACGAAAAACAAATTCTTGAAAATTCAAGAATGACGTCGAATTTTTCACTTTAAAAACTTCTTTTTTTTTTAACAACTTAATTGATAATGATAAAATACTATCAATATTTTTCTAAAATACTATCAATAATACCGACAATAACGACTCCAAAAACACGTGGTTAGGTTATGATGGAATATCATGGATCTCAGGCGGAGAGCGTAAAAATGAGGGAGATAATTCTAACAAACAATTAAGAACCACGCTCACATACGGGGATCAATTAATAGAAATGGAAAGGTGAGAATGTCAGCTTCACTTCGGTCTGGGTATTAATATTCAAAAAATGAACAGCGGGGAACAAGAAGTATTTAAAAAAAAATATGTTTTCCCCGGTGTGATCAATTTTCCTGATTTCTGGAAAATGGAGCAACTTAAAAAAAAGACATTTGAAAAGTAGACACTCTAAGCTTTAAAATGGTGTGCATTGAATAACAATATAATGAAATATGAGTTTTTAATTACTGCTTGTTTCAAAGATTTCTAGAACTTCGAAAACGTATGAAAAATGCAAATAAACAAATCAATTTTGTTTTAAAACGCCAGGAAGATACTGGAAAAAAATTCTGAGATCATTCGAGACATCTCAAGATCCCACTTAAAACAAAAATGGGATAAAAAACTATTAAAAGAACAAAAATATGAATGAATTACTATAAAGTGGTCCAAAATAGTGGGAAAACGCAACTTTGACCCCTTTTTCAATGTTCTTGACAGGAAATAACGGGCTTCAAGGCATATGGATCGATACCTATGGGTTTTCCCATTGTAATAAACTTGTAATAAAAATGTCAATTTTTGATCGAGTTTTGAAACAATTTGTCCACCCGTTTACAAGCTAATCAGCATTGCTATAGAGATAAAGAAGGGGCTGAACGAGGAGACTTTTGATTGCAGTTATCTCGAAACCTGTCGAATTCCCGACAAAAATGATAGGGACCATTTTTGTAGATAATGATAAGATCTTTCTAAACAACAATTCTCTAATTTGCATATTGTGGAAGATATTGGCGGGAAACTAGTTTTAAGGTCCATTTTGGGCCCTTTCCGACGCAGCAGAGTTGGTAAAAGTTTTCGACTTTGGAAGCGACCGCCGAGTCCTAAGAGTTGAGCTACAACATAAATCCGGACCGACTTAATGACAGGTTGGTCCCTTCAGTTGCTGGACTATTAGTTTTGTATGGTGAGGTTTTGTGAGTTGCTGATTACGAATTTGTAGTTATTTTGTTAGGATACAAAATGGCGGATCCAATATGGAGGACATATTCTGAAGAAACTCGCTTAATTTTAACGTAAATTAGTATAGAGGGGTTTCTTGAGTCGCTGATTACAAATTTATGGTTATTTTTTCAAAATACAATATGACGGAAAGAGATTGCTTAACATAAAGATACTGCAAAAGTATTTAAAAATGAAAATTGTAAATATATCGTAGATCGCAAATCGAAATCCGAAAGGTCAGAATTATTTGAAATAAGTTGCAGAAATAATTTAAACATTAGGAAACAAATCTCTAAAATCACCCTACGAATTATTAAGACCATCCCCAACCCCTAAGGTGAAAACAAATTCTTGGAGATTTGAAAAAACCTGTCGTCGATGTGATTCGAAACCAGACACCTCTAGACCTTCACGACATGACTGTCGAGATTCCTAGACGGCAATCTGATTTGCTAATTCGGGCCAAGCGCCATTTCAGGCTCGTTCTCAAATCTTCAAATACCTTTATACAGTATAGGTGTATATGAGAGATGCATTGATGATTACTATGCTCATATCTTCGTCTGAGTGAGTTGTTTTCAATGGTTAGGGCTCTTAACGTACATTGAAAACTTAACTCACGCAGACGAAGATATGAGTTTAGTATGCATCAGTGAATATCTCATATACATCGATGCTATATAAAGGTATTTGAAGATTTTAGTACGAGCCCGAAACGGCGCTTGGCCCGAATTAGCACATCAAACGGTTGTCTAGAAATCTCGACAATCAATGTCGTGATGGTCTAGAGGTAGGGCATTTGTATACGTAACAAAGATGTCTGGGTTCGAATCCCATGAAGACAGGCTTTTTTCAAATCTCTGTTTTCATCTTTGGGGTTTATTATTTCAAACGCTACATGTAAAATATACCTAACCATTTTTGAAGCTCTTTTCGTGTAAAGAATGGGCGTTTTTGTACCACACTCCCAATATTAGTCGGTAACTCATAAAATTTTACTCATTGACTTTATCACGCGTAAATGCCTTATCATTATCATTTACCATGGAACCATCAGAACACGTAAACATGGCCATAGCTTCAGGTGAAAAACTTTTTCGTTATATTTGCGACTGTTTCTCCATGCTCGAAATGTGTGGATCAGATGTGATCAGCATACGTTGGAAAACATTTTACATTTTTTTTATCTCTAGCACATTTGTTTCTCGCTTCCTGGTCGTCTTCAGAAAATTTAGCCATCGGATGCGGGCCCATTTGAGGATTGTGGGAGCGTGAATCAAAATTCGATTGATTGAAACGTTACGTCATTTTTCCTGTCGATTTCTACGACACGCATTCCGGTGCTTTAGGCTAAGCCAATGTCAGATATTTTATCTTAATAAGGTTTTCTCTTACGTACAGAAGTAACAACAACCCTGTGCTTCGCTCTGTTTAAAGTTAAATATAGATAAACAATGAAAAATGATAAATTCATGAGGTTGTTGCAATTATAAATGATGTATGTACTTTCCGAATTACCGCTCATCAAGCACAATTAAAACAAAACTTATTAACTCTTGATTGGCGAACAATTCTTCCGAGCTATTTTACCTGCTACGAATAGCCCGGAGATACCTTACTTTGGAGCAGTCATACTCAACCTTTTTTTCCTTTGGCCACATACGTATGTTTGCAATGTTCTTCAAACAGAAAAAATACAAAATATGTTGATTAATTTTTACAACTAAATAATGAATTTATCAGGGACGGTTTCTCCATTAGTTATTAGTTCATTTGTGCAATGAAAATCCACTTAAATTTCATAGAAACACATTATTTTAAAATAACTTTATTTAGCACCATTTTGTGCATCGCACGTAAATTACGACACGACAGTTAACTTCGCTGGGTTAGGTCACTCTGAATGGAGTCCTTTAATCCAATGTTGCCACATTTAGTAGATTTATACCTTTTTGGTAGATTTTCAGCTTTTTTGGCTAGTTTTAGTAGACAATTTTTTTGGTAGATTTTAGTAGATTTCTTTAATAACAAAATCCAATTACGGGTACTCAAATAATTGTGTTGCTAAAAATGATTGCTAAAAACGTTAGTTTATAACTAAGGCTTGGCGATTAACAAAATAAATGATTGTTTAAAATAATCTGTTATTTTCGATTAATCGAATACTTAAAAATAATAGATTTTTTCGATTAACAGATTATTTTAGATTAATCGATTAGTTTCGAATATTTTCCATTTAATCCATTAATCGATTCTTTTCGATTAATCGATTTATTCAGATTAATCATTTATTTTCGATTAATCGATTATTTTCGGTTAATCGATCATTTTGGAATATTCGATTATTTTTTATTATTCGAATAATCGAATATTTATTGATTAATTGATTATTTATTGATCATATATCACTAGAGTAGGTACAGCAAGTTATTGATGATAACAATAACTACACTTAATACAATCCCAAATTAGAAAACAGTGATATTGGCGCTTAAATTATCATGAGCCGCCACTGGAATTTATAGTAATTAATCTTTCAATTTCAATTTCTCTGCAAAATGTAACGAAACTTTTTTTTTAGTGTACGACGCTAGTGGAAAATTTCCTAGTGGGATACTAAACGGATCACCCTTCGCTTTAGGTCAATTCGATGAATGTCTTGACATCAAAGTTCCTTATGAGAATAACCAATTTACCGGTAAATACTGTATGACCAAAATTACAGTAACGCCAAACTATAAATACAAAATGAAAGAAAAAATCGATTTCGAATTTGGAGACTACAACGACTTTTATAACATATCAGCATGGAGCAAAATGATAGTAAGTAAATGATGTTTGGAGAACATCAAGGATCATTTCTACGACCGCTATAAATCATATAATATATAGGTATATAATGAATCCAAATAATATAATTCAATCTTTTAGGCGTATTCACATGAAGCTTCCAAAGCAGCTAGAAATGAAATATATTTATCTTTCTGCTTGCCGTCATCATGTACAGAAATTGATTTGTATAACAGCTTAAATAATATAACAAACAGAATTAATGGACAACTGATCGATTTTAGTTTAACAATTAAAGACGCCAAAGACAAATGTCAAGTTAAATCTGAATACGTCTATTCTGTTGGTGATATTACCTTCATGTAAGTACCTAATTAATTAATAAAATGATAAATGGACTCTTTATTATTAATATGTTCAGAATATATAAATATTTGATGTCAGTGACATCAGTCCCTAGCAGATTTTAAACTTGAAGATTAGATTGGTCCTATTGATTTTAGTAAATGGCGAATGTAAGCTATCGATATTTAATGAAATCGTTAATGAAAATTAAAAAGAATAGTGGCCACAAGTTGGAATCTTGAGAAACACTAAAATTTAAGATATTTCAATAGTCCTCGACAATATTTCATATTGTCTTAACTATAGCTAGTTATTCCCATAGTTTCAGAAAAATACCCATTATATACTCTTCACACAGTAGTCTGTGAAGAGAACATTCGCTTCGTCCGTCCAATGTCACGTTTTTTTGTCCGCACGATAAGTTTAAAACGGAAAACGATATCAATTTGAAAATTTAAGGAAAAAACAAGCCCTATAAGGGGACAAAGCCTATTGATTTTCAAAAAAATCCTTATAGAAATGGGAGTTCAGGAGGATTGAAACATTACAAAAATTTATTTATTTTTATTTATTTTTATTAATTTTTATTTATTTTTATTTATTTTTATTTATTTTTATTTATTTTTATTTATTTTTATTTATTTTTATTTATTTTTATTTATTTTTATTTATTTTTATTTATTTTTATTTATTTTTATTTATTTTTATTTATTTTTATTTATTTTTATTTATTTTTATTTATTTTTATTTATTTTTATTTATTTTTATTTATTTTTATTTATTTTTATTTATTTTTATTTATTTTTATTTATTTTTATTTATTTTTATTTATTTTTATTTATTTTTATTTATTTTTATTTATTTTTATTTATTTTTATTTATTTTTATTTATTTTTATTTATTTTTATTTATTTTTATTTATTTTTATTTATTTTTATTTATTTTTATTTATTTTTATTTATTTTTATTTATTTTTATTTATTTTTATTTATTTTTATTTATTTTTATTTATTTTTATTTATTTTTATTTATTTTTATTTATTTTTATTTATTTTTATTTATTTTTATTTATTTTTATTTATTTTTATTTATTTTTATTTATTTTTATTTATTTTTATTTATTTTTATTTATTTTTATTTATTTTTATTTATTTTTATTTATTTTTATTTATTTTTATTTATTTTTATTTATTTTCCTGTCATTAAAAAACCGAAAATCTCATACAAATCTTCACCTCCCGTTTCCCCCCTTAATTTCTATTTATTTATGATAACTACAATTCCAATTTTCAATTTCCTACCTTAAAAAAAGCGATACCTCCATACAAAGTTTTCCCTTTTTCCCATTTATCCCTTTTCTTTCCTTTCTCCCCTTTTTCCTATTTCTCACCTTCCTTTCATTTCTCCCCTTTCACCACCTTTCCCTCCTTCAGTAGCTGTATTTTAAATTTTCGTGCCAAAAATCATGTCTGTGAAAAAAAAAATGTATCCCACGGGAACTGTATTTTTATTATCCATCTATCCGTACATCCAAACTTTCGCATTTATATATTAGTAGGATAGGAAAAATTAGAAGAATTATAATGTGAAAGAATGGCTATTTAGATATATATTTCATTTAATTTATTATTAAAAGTATTTATTTTTTAAACGTTATTGTTATTATTTTTCAGAACATTTATAACTTTCTTTGCTCTACTGGTACTAGTTTGTTCCCTTTACGATATGTGTTCAAGAAGTGATGATGATCCTAAAACGAAAAAATCTCCAGGTATGAATAATTTTATAAATTTATTTTCAAGCAATAGTTTGGAAACCTAACTACAAACTTTATTTTAATATATTAAATTTCGTTTTGATTTTAAGGTAAATTGCACGAGATTTTGATTTGTTTCTCTGTACCGAAAAATTTAAAAAAATTGGCTTCTTCTACTAACAACGAAGATGGTTTGGATTGCCTGGCTGGAGTTAAAGTAATTTCTATGTTTTTGATAATTATGGGACACAGATGTATGTTTTGCTTCGGAGCTCCAATAGTTAACCCACTGTACATCGAAAGGGTAAGCTACAGTTTTAATAAAAATAATTATCAACTAATTATTAATAATCTATAAATGACGATCTCATCGCGTTCCATTGCAACCCAGACGGATCTATTGTATTATATTGTGTCAAATGTGTTCCAAAATGACGTCATTATACGTTATTTTTATGTAAAAAATTCACATCGACACGTGTTTGGACAAAATTTCACGTGAGTATGACGTGCAACGACGTCTTCTGCTAGCTGGGAACTCACTGGTTTGATAATTTTTTTCTTCATTCATTATTTTTGATAATCTACGTAACCATTTATGTAAACAATATAATGATATGGTATTACTGATTTTTTTCTTCAAAACATCCAGCTACCTCTTTATTTGTAACATCTTTCCTTTACTCAAATTTCTGTGTTTATGTAACCAATGAGGGCCATGTGGCCTTCCCCACTTCAATCTTTTTAGATCTTTTGTGTTTATACTTTAGTCGTTGCATGGAATACCTTTTTTAGTTTGGTCTTTTGTAATTGACTCATAGACTCCCTAGACTAGGAAGTAATTATTTAGCATAGTTAGTTGCCCTTGGTTTTGCTTCTTCAAGTGTAAGGAACCTTCACAGTAGCATAAAACATGAACTGCAGTTTCCTCCTCTTCCTGGCAGAATCGATACAAAGTCTCTTCTGCCAGACTAATGTTATACATATGTTCATGTTCATTTAACCTACAATGCTCTGTTATCACTAGTACTCTACTATTTTTCCTATTGTTGCTTAGTAGATGCTCGCTGAGTTTTGGCGATAATACTTTTAAGAACTCTTTGGCCTGTCTCTGTCCTAGTGAATTTTTCCACCATTCCTGATATTTTTTTAACATCCACTGTTTTGTGCATGTTCTGATAGATGTCTTTGTGACACCACAGATGGACTTTGAGCCTTTGAGGCTCCTTATCGGGCTAGTAAAGCAGCCTCTTCGTTGCCCTTATGTTCTCTGTGGCCTGGTACCCAGGCTAAGATGAGTCTGTTTTGACTACCCAGCTCTGTTAGGGCTTCCAAACAGTCCCACAAAAGCTTTAAGTGTACCTGCATGGAACTGAGTGCTTTTAACATTGCTTGACTTTCTCCAGTATTTATATGGCAATGGTTTTTCCATTTACCTTATGTCTTAATACCTCTTTTGCGCAGTGATGTATTGCTGTTATTTATGCCTGGAATACTGTCGCACGTTTACCTAAGCTCAATGATATTCTTATATTATGCTTAATACTACCTATATATACACCTACTCCTGAACCTTAATGTGTTTGCTTTGGAGCCATCTATATACACGGTGAATTCTGCGTAAATAGGAGGTCCTTCCGTCTACGCTTTCCTGTCTGGTATACTTTCTTTTGAAAGTTATATTTTGGAAGCATTTCGTCTGAAGGCTTCTCCAACTCTTTGTAGTCACGTCCATGCAAATTGCTTTTGGGCAATGGACCTTTGTGCAGCCTGTGTGCGACGGACCTGATTGAAAGAACATGTGTAGTGGTGTTAGGTTTAGCATGACTTCTTTGGCTGCTGTTGAAGTCATCCTCATAGCTCCCGTGGCACTCAAGCATGCTTGCTTTTAATACCGTTGATATATCGAATGGCTCCAGCTTACCGAATCTTAGGCCAGCGCTTCACCGACTCACAGGTTATCACAGACCTTATGACTCTGGTATTCGCTCCGTGCGAAGTCATGGAAAGGGAAGCAAAAGCGATACTAGCGCTAGCTACGGATAATTCGTGCATTTTAGGGCGATATTTTGTAATTTTGGCATATCAAATACACATATACATTTAACTTTTTTTTCAAAAAAGTAGGTAAAATCAGCACAATAAGCAACCGGAGTTGATGTGTTGAAAATTGTACAAATACTAGCAAAAAAAAAACGGTGACACTTATATAAAAAATTTCACTAGCAAAGTGGAAATTAAATCAAAGAAATAAATGGATTGGTGTACAATAAGAAGAAAAATTACCTTTATTTTTGTGATAATAACAATAATGCTGGAAATAGTAGACATCAGAAACTTAAAAGGTTTTAAATAAACAATAAATTATCATTTTATGATGTTCTTTAATATCCCTTTATTCTAAATGTTCATTCAGCAAGGACTAGATTTCAAGATTTCTTGCTTTGATTATAATATGTGGCTGGAATGCAATTTTGTGACTTACTGATGGGAAACCAGTTTTAATCATTCATTCTATGTTTTCTTTCGAACAAAAATGAAAACATAAATAACAATCCTTTTTTATACATTTTAACTTCACGCTATTATTAAATGGTATTTTTTTATTTTGACAAATAGGCTAATTCTTCAATAACAACTAATTAGACTTAGGCAACTTCTCATACATTCTCCAGTAAATACTGTTGCCTGCCTATATTTTATTATTAATTTTTATTGATTATACATAATTTTCTTTAATTTAAGCGGGAGAAATATATAATAACAATAAATTAATGTTTTACTTGTTTTACAAATCCATATACTTTTATTAAAACTAACAAATATACTTTTTATTTACGAATTCTATTAAAAATTGTATTTGTCAGTATAGGCAGAAATAGTCCTTTAATACCAAAACAAATTGGCGCTGCTGTCGCGCACGGAGCTAATACAGCCATAGGGACATTTTTGGTTGTAGTCGCCAATATTTTCCGTACAACTTTCGACATAAGTCAAAGGATGTGCTTTTTTGGGTGACTTTATGCAAGTGTTGATTTCATGTTAACGTCAAAAATGATACCCAAGTATTTGTCCTCTTTGGCAGACGGAATCTCTACTCCTTTCAATGCTGATGACTTTAGTGCTGAGCATACCTTTCATTTTGTAAAGTTCACTATTGTGGTTTTGTGAGGGTTTTATTGATAGTTCCTCCTTTCTGCACCACTGGTCAACGATGTTTAGAGTGGTTCGTGTGCGCTTCGATATTGTACCTGCGAACTTGCCTCTTAAGACGATCGCCAAGTAATCGGCATACCCTAGGCAGTATAATTCTACAGATATTAGTCTTCTTCCACTAGGACTAATCAAAGAACGGGTGATAGTACTCATCCCTGGGAGCAGCCCCTGCCTGCTTTAGCCGTAATTGTAGCTTCGCCTACAGATGATGTTATTGTCCTTTCTTCTAGACTGACTTTTATCTACTGGCACAGCACTGCTGGTACCCCTTTCGTTGCTAATGCATTAATTATAAATATTGTTTGGACATTATTGAAAGCTTCCTCCATATATAGGAATGTTGGTACTGCCATTTCTTTACCCTCTAGGAATTTGAGAGTGGCCTATTGAAATCATTCAAGGCCAAATCGGTTGACTGTCCTGGCTGCTTTGCATATTAACGGTAGCTGAGAGGTTTTCCTTTCAGTATGTTGTCTTGTATATATCTATCCATTAGTCTTTCTAGCGTTTTTAGCATGAATGACGATAGACGGGCGTTACGACTATCATTCACTCTTTCTACTTTACGAAAGTATATGACTTTCAACCTTTTGTCATGCCTCTGGTGTATGTCACCAGCCAATACATGCTTTAAATATGCGACACATATATGGAATTAAAGTTTCCTGTCCCTTGTGTAGTAGAATGGGATTTATTCTATATATTCCTGGGGATTTGTATGGCTGTTTATAGCCCATCTGATATTGTTCGGCCTCGATATTTCTGTAGCAGCCTCCATTCCAAAGGAGTTGGCATACTAGACCTTCTTTGAGGGCTATGCTACTATTGGGTCTAACACAGTTTCTGCGACCAGAAAGTGTGCTTCTGTGAGCATTGTTAACGTTTCCTATAAGGCTTCTGTATAGGGTACATTATCGTTCTTGAGAAATCCTACTTGGTTTGCAATACCCTCTTTAGCTTTGTTCATACTAGAGCATTCGGGTGTTTCTGATAAATCTTCACAGAACTTCTTCCAGGATTGTCTTTTAGCCTTTCTTATCTCCTTGTACTATATAGGGCCCAGTCTTTGTCCAGCCTCTAAGTTGTTCTAAAGTGTTTGTTCCACCAGACTGTTTTTGTTCTCTATTGTCTTCTTTTCTCCGGACATTTTTCCTCGTTAGCGGTTATAATACTTACTTTGCCTAGTGCTTTATTTACCTGTTATTTCCACCATACCCTCTTCTAGATACTGTCCGAGTGATGTTGAATACCTTTCCCAGTTCGCCTCTCTAGGGTTTCTAGCCCAATCCAATTAATGGCATTCGAATTTTTAATTAATTGGCATTAGTGATGTCGCGAGACGAGAGATTCTCGTCTCGTCTTGTCTCGTCTCGTACGAGACGAGAGAGACATTTTTTTTAGAAAAAAGATTCGAAACGAGACGAGAGAGTGTCATCTCTCGACGAGAATTTCTCGTTTCTCTCGAGCTCTCTCGAGGTCTCTCGCGCAATTAACTGTTCACTTCTTTAAAATTTTCAATAACTAATCGTAACTTAAAATTTAAAAATATCAGATTTCCAGACAGTCAAAAAGTTAACTATAAAACACCTATTCTATATACACAGTGAGTTTTAAGTATGGAACGCCTCAATTATCTCGAAAACGGCTTGCACGATTTTTATTTATGGTGACCCGTCAAATGCGCTCCGAAAAAAGCGCCCAAGACAAAAGCGCCACCCGAAATCAATGGACAGAATCGTAATAATTTCCATATAGTCAAATTTTTCGGAGGTTATTTTTGGAGATAATTTAGAAAGACAACAATTTTTAAGTGTTTTTTCGAAAAAATGTCAAAGAAAAAGTAACAGAAGCGAACGTATTGTTAATATGCTTCAAAATGCTTTCATTTGATATCACACGAAAAAAAATTCTAGCTTCCAAATGAAACCCTACCCCCTCCCAACTGACTTCTAAGACAAAATATTTATAGCAGGGGCAGAAGTTGGAAAGGCTTTTACTAGTTCTCCCACTTCATACACATAACTTGACAGGTTTGCAGGGGATATAACCGAAGTGGACGCGATACATTGGCGTACAAAGTTATTTTTTAGATGTTAACAATTTCGAGTAAATAGTTTAATAAATTGTGAATAGCTGTTGAAATTTTATAGAATTATGATTTGGGTATTATAATACATGTTTAATAATTATTTATAGTTCATAAATACATGGGATTATCCAGTTCTTATTCTATGAAACGACACTGGCAGCTAATCATTATTACAAAATTCTCGAAGTCGTCCGACGTGGTTTTACGTTTGCCTCCTCTCTACCTGCCAAAAGCCTTTCTAACCTCTGCCTCTGCTATACATTCTTAGTTAACGCCCAATTTGAGCCACTGACTACTTTAAATTTCAATTGTTTATGTCAAATAGTGTCTAAGTAAAACGATTGTGACAGACGGACAGGCAGATGAGAGATACCAAGGTAATTTCCCTAAGTGTTTCTTATTGCCAATTTGGGTACTGATGAGACAAATTACTTGAAAAATTATTTGTTGTCTTCAAAATTTTACAGTTTTTTCATGTTTCGTCCTAAGTTTATCTTTTCCAAATTTAAATTTGATATGTTTTTATCACGAGAGACACGAGACGAGAGAATGGCTCTCTCGAGCGAGAGAAGCGCCTTCTCGACGAGACGAGAGAACAGTTTTCTCTCGCCCTACGAGATGAGACGAGAGAGGCCTCTCTCTCGTCTCGCGGCATCATTAATTGGCATGGTTGTTTGAGGTATTTTATGAGTGTCGTATTAGCAGTAGGTAATTACAATTACATTACTCATTAGATATCTATGTATCTCTTATATATACTAGTAAGATTTGATATGACTATTGATTCATAGTCTAATTTTGGTTTTCGTGCATGTTTTATATAGCTCAATTATACGTTTTTTACATTTTTCTCTTATTAACCTGCCTTCTTTTGACACCAGCTTCGTCTACTATTAATCAATCTACTTCGTAAACCTATCTACCTTTCTTCTAGATATTTTTATCAGGATGAAGCCTTGATCTTCTCTTTTATTCTTATCATAAATGTAGTTACTTTTATGTTGATTTGCAATTCCTGCTTCTTTCTTGCTGACTCTATTAATTTTTGTGTTGATTTTCTAAATATTTTTTGTGTAATAAATTTGATATTGTTAAATAAATTCTACAGCACAATAATTTCTTTAAAAATTAGATTCTATCGCATTTTCATAGTAGTTTGTGCAACAAGAGATATAGACAATCCACGAGTTGAACAGTATATTTTTTTACGATCCACTAACGAAAATCTACAAATTTATAAAAATATTTTAGGTTGTTAAGACAAAATAACTAATTTTAAAATAATTTATGAATTTTACTAATTTATAAGATAAAAAAAATGATAAAAAGTTAAATATCCAGCCCAGATTCGAACCCGGGCTTTTCGCGTGGAAGTCAGACGTTCTGTCCTCAGCTCCACCGTCACTTTTAGGATTTTAGTTTTAGTACTCGTAATTAAATTAGTTTGATTAATATTAAAAAAAAATTTCAAAATGTTAACCAAATAAAAATGCTATTATTTATCGATTCTACACAAAAATAACTAATTTTAATGTAAATTTAATTTCAATAACTGAAAAATATACTGACAATAAGTTTGACAGAATTGTCACATATTTAAAATTTTAAAAATAATAGTAGTTGGGTTTCCCCACTCGACCATTCACTGTTGGGTACAAATTAACAGTGCTGTTCCTAAAGTGGCGCTGGGAAACAGTAACAAAGCCTACACAGAACACGAGGCTAATAACCGTAGCAGTTGATGCCAATGACACAAAAAAAATAGTAGTTGGGTAATCAAAATATGAACTATGATTGGTGAATTTCATTTTTTTGTTCAGTGTTCTCACTACATAGAATGTATATGAAATATATTCGTTCAGTTGAACGCAATAGTATACTTTTTCGGTTTGTAGTCTGTGCGTAGATAAGCTAATATCTATGTAGATGTAGAAAAAAGTATTTTTTTTTACTTTATAATCGTTTTTGTTGTAGATGTATTCGAGATTTTATGCGACAGCTATTTTAAATGGTCCAATAATAGTTGACACATTCTTCCTAATATCGGGATTTTTGGCTAGTTATTTTACATTAAGTGCGCTAAAAAACAGTAGAAGCATTGCACATATATTTTTGATATATATTCATCGATTAATAAGGTAACAATATAAAAAAATAATGGCAGATATCTAAATAAAATATTTAACTTTTAAAACGTTTAAAAGTAGAATGCAAATTAGTTCAGACAATGTATGTTTTTTTTAGGATGACTCCAACTTATGTAGTGGTATTAGCTTTCTACTGTACAGTGTTTTCCAGCTTGGGTAGTGGACCTTTTTGGCAAGAAAGAATCGGGGTGGAAAAAGATAGATGCTTACAGAATTGGTGGGCCAATGTATTGTATATAAACAACTATGTCAATGTAGATAAACTGGTAAGTAATCTCCTTTGTAGTTCAAATCTATTCTTTAGAATTTATTTATTTTTTCTTTGATAAAAAAGCTTCTACAAATTCCTTTGTTGAAAAAGACTAATCATTTTTACAAATTTTAAGGAGGTTCTGTGTAACATAATCTAATTGCAATATTTTTTGCAGTGTATGTTCCAATCCTGGTATATAGCCTGCGATATGCATTATTTCCTTTTAATTCCTCTGTTGGTGATTATTTTGAAGAAAAATGCAACCTGGGGCGTTTCAGCAATTCTCACTTTAATGGTTGGATCAATTTTAGTTGTTTTCGCCTCAGTTTATATCAAAAACGAAGACGCCATTCTGTTACTCTACATGAAGTAAGTACATTCTTCTTAAAAGTGGAAAAGGGAACATGGGGAATATAGGGCATATAGAGTATGTAGGGAATATATGGAATAAAGGAAATATAGCTCTAGTACGGGAACGTACACCTTTCTAAACCGAAATACGTGTGGAAAGATGGAATTTTCCGCATTCAATTTTGGAAAAAGCATTTTTCGAAAAAAAATTATCGGTATAATTGGATTAATTACAAGTTTACTAATAAATCTAATTCTTACTAATATTTTACTAATTTCTAGGTTACTGAGGGACCCTATCGGCAATCATACGTTCTCGAATATTTACATCCCATCTCACATGAGAGCGAGTCCGTATTTTGTAGGCGTGATCACCGGATACATTAAATATAGGATGAAGAATTCCGCATATAAGCTACCCAAATGGCTGTACAGAACGGGCTGGGTTGCGGCTACGTTTGTTTCACTGGCTACTATTCATTTGGGATTTATCTTCTATTTGCCGGAATTCGCCAACAATTCAACTATTATATCTGCGTTATATGCAGCCTTCCATCACTTTACATTTAGCGCTGGAAATGCTTGGTTGATCATTGCTGTGTCTTCAGGAAAAGGATGTAAGTACCTAAATTAATTGCTGTGTTTTCCAAGAAGTCATATAGAAAGATTGTAGCACTTTTACATCGGAGATATTATAATATTTATGACTTTATTGATATTTGCAATGTTAACTAACGTAATACTAATTTTTTTTTAGCTTGGGTTGAACCATTACTATCTTGGAAACCTTTCATTTTGCTAAGCAGAATCAGCTACACTGCATTTTTGTGTCATGGAGCCGTTCAACTGTATACAGCTGCTATTATGCGTGAACCAAACTATGCTACTCTATTTTCTACTGTAAGTAATGTTTTTTTTTTCTATAAAAAATTACAGCTTCGATGTTGTCACTTTAGACTTTACGGCAGGGGTGGGCAAACGATCGATCGCGAACAGTTCGGCAGTCGATCGCAGACTTTTAAATAATTTACTAGGTTAATTGCAAATCTTTTAATTTAAAATGTGTATTAAAAATTTAAAGACGATGGAACATGAATTTAAAATTAAACACGTATCTATTCTACAACTGACATGAATATTTCCCGAGCAGTGCTTTACTCCCTTCTACTAATTCTACTGTATGCGTAAGCCCTTTTTTGCTCCCCGCTATTTTTCAGTAAAAGAATAAGATTTTTTAACAATACTTCCGATAAAGGGAACAACGCGAGGTGTAGATATAATGGCAACGTTTATGCCATTTGTTGAAAAATCAAATTTGCCTTTGTATCGATTGGTTGCTGTCTACTGATAAAGCACCTTCAATGATTGGTACAAATCATGGATTTTTAGCCCTTTGAACAAAATTAACAGTTTCCTGAATTCGTATCATTTAAAAAGACGAATGAGTGTGGGGAATACACCGAAACACTCACAGAGTATAACAAAACTCTTAGGAAATCTAAGAGGGATTCACGGAGAACATTCTGTCAGAAAATTGAAAATACAACTGAAGGATGCAGACTCCACCGCATTCTAGCAAAAGATCCAATAAACCCTGTGGGGACTTTAAAAACCCAAACAGGGGAATACACTAAAACTGGAATGGAAACATTAGAACTACTTCTTAAAACTCATTTCCCTGATTGCACAACAAACTCGAATGCAGCAAACCAAACCCACACGAACTGGAAGATGAGGTACTGCCTGTGCTTTTGCAACAGGCAATAGAAACGCTGGCCCCGCATATTTGTAGACTCTACAGGGCAAGTTTGGTGCATAAACATGTACCAAATACCTGGAAACAAAGCAGAGTTGTCTTCATACCTAAACCGGGGCGTCCAACGTATGCCGTGGCAAAGGCCTATAGACCAATAACTCTGACGTCATTTCTATTGAAAGGATTGGAAAAACTGATTGATCAGAATGTCCGGCAAACCACTCTGATAGAGAGGCCATTTCATACAAACCAACATGCCTATCAATCAGGAACATTTTGTGAGTCTGCTCTGTATCATCTTGTAACCAAGATAGAGGGAGGACTCAGTAGCCAAGAAATAGTCCTAGGAGCATTTCTTGACAGAAGGAGCTTTTGATAATACCTCCTTTAAATCAATGGTAGCTGCCGCTCGCAAACATGGAATAGAAGACACCATCTGCTGGTGGATAGAAGACATGTTATGCGGACGGCAAGTACAGGCACAAATGTTCAGTGAAATCATGCAGGTGAATATCCACAGGGTGGAGTCCTTTCTCCTCTACTGTGGAACCTAGTGGCAGACGAACTGCTGAAAACACTAAACAATTAAGGGCTGTATGCCCAAGGATATGCCGATGACATAGTCATCCTTATCCGAGGGAAACACCAAACCACAGTCTTTGAACTCATGCAAAGAGCTCTTAGGCTGACAGAAATGTGGTGCGTTAGGGAAAACCTCTTGGTAAACCCTGACAAGGCACAACTCATAACCTTTACTCGAAGAACAAAATTGGAGGTTTTAGAAACTCCGACTCTGTTTGGAGGAAGGCTAAACAAAACGAACCAAGTAAAATATCTGGGTCTAATCCTAGATAGCAAACTTACTTGGAACCAACACTTACAAAAAGTGACCAACAAATGTAAAATGTCTCTCATTGTAGGGAGACGGGCATTTGGAAAAACATGGGGATTAAAACCAAAAATGGTCCATTGGCTATATTTGGCAATAACAAGACCCATGATAACTTATGGAGCGGTTTTGTTTGGTGGTCTAAAGTAAACCAGAAAACAGCCCTCAATACCCTCTCAGGAGTACAGAGGCTGGCATGCCTTTGTATTACAGGAGCACTGAGAAGTACACCGACAGCCTCTATGGAAATCATTCTAAACCTCCCACCCCTTGACTTAGTCATAAAGGGGGAGGCCAGAATGAGTGCATACAGACTGGAAATCTCCAACAACTGGAACCCACTGGGACATTTAAAACATACCAGAATAACACATAAAGTAAATGATTCTATATTAAATATGGGATCAGATCACAGGACACCCCTCCTAACCTTTAACAAACTCTTCCAGGTCAACTGTAACTGAAACGAGGTAAATAAGGAGATAGATAAATACTTGCTTAGCGGCCTCGTATGGTATACGGGTGGATCTAAAACTAACAAGGGAACAGGCTCTGGCGTACATGGAGTTAAACCCAAATGCGACATCATCGTCTCACTGGGAAAACATGCCACTGTATTTTAGACTGAAATACATGCAATCGAATTGTGTGTACGAGAGAATTTAGGAAGGAAGTACAGAAAATGTGATTTTAATTTATTTTAAATTTTGTATTTACATTATATTTTATTTAAAAATTGTCATCATTCTCCGTCCAAAATCATCATTCTGTAAAATTACATCTGGTCAGCCATCTTAAGATAAATTAAATAAACCCTGTAAATACCCTACCACCACACACTTATAAATACCTATACTAGAAAGATTGTAAAGATCAGAATTTGGGCAAAACATAATATGTGTAATTTACATGGGCTCTGTTGCCCATGGTATAGGCTAATATTCAAATGAAGAATCATGGATAGTTTGCGTTATTACAAACCATTTTGCATGAATAAAGAAAACAGGGAATAGCTCTATTTACAATAAATGAATATCATCTTAATTTGGATATAATTATCAAATCCTTAATAAACAGTTTTATTATAAATATAACATTGACTTTTAATATTTTTTTAAAATGTTTCTCAAAATAATGTGATTGTAGGTTGCCACTTTTTACAGCTTGTCCAAGCTCTGACTTTCTGTCTCAAGTGGCAGTTTTCACTCTTACTCTTTTAATACACAAATACTGCCGCCATAAGAAAAAAACACGTATTCGACATTTTTTCCAAAATTGAGATATTTATTTCATATGTTTTAAAATAGCTTTCTGAACATGTTGACGAAGAAACAATCGCGTATATTGCTGTGGAAGTAATAAATTCGCTTTGTTATTTTCACGTATTTGCACCTCATTGAGTAGTCATACTAAATATAAACCACGTATTTACTAAATACTAAGAAATGTGTGTGTGTATGTATTTCTGTTTGGCACTGGTTTCAAAACCAACTGGCCAGTCAATCTTTAATTAATTTTAATAAAGTTTATTTTGTGTTAATTCAATTTTAAGTTCTATCCTTACAATATTTCACAGTTCACATTTTATTTGAAAAATACAAGTTTCTCTAAATACATTATTAAGAAGTAAATCCTATAATAGGTTTTTTCTAGCTCATGTTTTTGCTTGTTTTTAATTTTTTAGTCTGTTTTTGTTTTTTACTTGTTTTTGTTTGTTTTTTTTTTTACCCGCGTAAAAACGAAGCGCATACGTAGTTTTTACTTAGTAGGCGCGCGTTTACGTGACTGTTGCTTAGCATTGAGTATTTCTGCAGTACAAAGCGCATATAAAGTCCACGTAACAGTTAAAAGCCTTAACATTAATGAAATGGTGAATTGGAAAAACTGTTCTTCGATTACAAAGATAAATCGATTAAAGCCTAATTTACGAGACGTTTCCGAAATAATATTTACCAAAGGGAAACTTTCATTCGTTCGAATACAGAACTTTGGAAAATAGTACGTTTACAGAAGTTGATATTTTGCAAGAAGGGTTTAAAAGAAATCATAATCTTATGCGGCCAAATTTTCGCAATATGCCGTGTGGAATAAGCGCCGAAAAAAAGAGTCAATAATAAAAAATTTGAGTTCACTGTCAGACACGAGGTTATATTTTTGGCAAAACATTCCTATTTGTTAAAATAAATGAATTAAGTATTTGTTATTCTTAAATTAAAAACTATTGTCTGTACTTTTAAATATTTTTTAATAAATAGGTTCAAAGTTATATAGGCTTTGGTTTTATTATGGGTTCCTTCTTTTATAAAAGTCTGTTTGGTGAAACACAAAAATTAAAAATATAAAACATTTACAAAAATAAATTTATTTAGGCTAAATTTTTTTGTACAGCACCCCCTTATAATTTTCGGACAAGGATTTCTCAAAAATTAATTTTTAAAAAAAAATATATTAGGCAATAATATCTAGAATATGCATATATTTTAAAGTTTTAATTCCTTTTAGTTTCCGAGAAAAAAATCAAAGGGCTTTAAATTTTGAAATATCATAATGAAAATAAATGCATTCCTCAACAGCACTATTCTTAATATAATCCCTAAATTTAAGCTCTTAATCTTTTGTTAATGATTTTTTAAAATTCGCCGAAATTAGTGGCTAAAACGCCTTGTTAAGTGCTATTTTCTGGTTTAAACTGGTGTAAATCGTTGCAAGAAACGAATGATGACTCATAGTGTACGATACGATAGTTACAGACGCGTTACACTAGAAAGAAGTACTTAACGAGGCATTTGAGCCACTAATTTCGACGAATTTTAAAAAATCATTAACAAGAGATTAAGAGCTTAAATTTGGGGATTAGTGGGAATAGTGCTGTTGAGGAATGCATTTATTGTCATTATGATATTTCAAAATTTAAAGCCAATTGATTTTTTTTCTCGGAAACTGGAAGGAATTAAAACTTTAAAAAATATGCATATTCTAGATATTATTGCCTAATTTATTTTGCCCAAATTGAAATTTTCTAAAAAAATAACTTTTTGAGATATCCTTGTCCGAAAATTATAAGAGGATGCTGTAATCACCTTAACTACAAGCAGAAGTTCCTATATTTACATTTTTCGAAGGTAAAACTGCGTATATGCACGTTATACGTAGTTTTTCCTTAGCAAATTGTAATTACGTGTTTGTTGTTTAGTATTACAAATATTTTTTTCATTTAAATATGCCGTATTTTTTTGTTATAAAACGGAAATTTCTTGCTTAATCAATAGTTTTTTATTCTCATTTATTAGCTTTTTTTGTATGTAAATTTAGGTACCAAAAGTAGTTGTCTGAAAAAATGTATTTGTAATGTATTTATAATTTAAATCTTTACTCTCCATTTTCTTAAATATAAGATTTTGTCGAATACGTGGTTTTTTCGTATGACGGCAGAATAGCTATTATGTCAACCCAACCGAGTGATCACATTTTCATTATGCATGTAAAAAACTGTTTACTATAGCTTGGAAACTAGATATTTATGGTGCTTGTAGAAAAAATTGTCATTTGTGTAATTTAATAGTTTTTTTTTTATTTTCAGATTTATGCAACATTTGGCGATATAGTAATGGCCTACAGCTTTGGATTTCTGCTCAGTATATTGTTTGAAGCACCTATTATTGGATTGGAAAAAATTATTCTTGGTGGTAAAAGAGAAAATAGGAAATCTTTAAACACAAATCAAACAGATATTATTGAAGAAGTCAAAATAAATGGTACAAAGGGTGTTATTCAAGAAAATAATAACCTTACAAATGTTGTTATTCAGGAAAAGACTGTCATTAATAATTAACTATTAAAAAAATTCTATGAATGTTATAATTTTTAGTTTTATCCAGTGATTTAATTTTTTATTGTTGTAATTATTTATTGTATGAAAATAAAAATCTTTTGAAACCTATCTCTTTAAATTAATTTCCATTTCACTCAAGTACCAGGTAAAAAAAACTTCAAAGATATTTTTACAATATACATATTTATATTCCTACAAAATAAACTTTAACCTACACTGTAAACCACCCAGGCATATTTTCTCTATCTTTATTTTTCGATAAAAATTGGTCAAAACCTTCTTTAGCTTGTTTTAGAGCCTTTTCGTGATCCTCATCCTCTTTTTCTTTGCTCTCCTCAAACAAATCTGGAAATTTGAATTCTACTCCTTTTGGCTAAAAAGTTATATTTTAAATCTCAACATTTCAGTAAACAAATATCTTACCATTATAACATAGGCATATTTCACATCATCATCTTTAATAACGTAACCAGCTGTTACTTCCCTTCTAGTTTTAGGCATATGTATCCTAGTCCTAACGTCTACACATTTTACATTGTAAATTTTTTCCATATAATTTTTAACATCAAATTTAGTCATTTCCATTGAACAAGCAAACTGTACTACATTGGAGGGTATTTTATGAGTCGGACGAACAAGTTTCATCCAAAAATTTGGAAGAAATACCCTCAATTGAGGAGAACCCTTCTGATAAATTGGGTACCTTAAAAAACAAAAATTTAAACAATTTACAAAGTATTTTAAGAATATTACCATCGAGTAGACATGTTTACTATTCAAAAATAGATCATACATCAACAGTTTATTGGGGCGTGGAATTTCGGACCAGGATACTATTTTAAAATTAGAAAATTCCTAAAATTAAAATTGAGGTTAATGTGAGGTTAATAAAATGTCAAAAATTGCTTTCTTCATCTTTTTTATTGTTTCTTCTTTTTCTTCTCTTTTTTGGGCCATGTCCATGAGACAATTTATCCAATCTTATTGTTTCATTTGTTTTCTACATTCGGCCACTTGCTTCTAGGAATACAGCCCATCAATAGGGTGCACCATTTGAGCCCATATTATTTATACCTCAACTGAGGTATTCTGTGCAGCTGAGTCTGACTTGCCTGAGTAGCTTTTGATTGCACACGTGATTACCATTTTAATATAATAATTGTTTATATTATTATATTGCAATAAAATTTAACTATTTGCTGCGTTTGAATATCCCACATCAGATGCATCTGAGATGTTGTGAATTTCTTATCACGTGATAAACTAAATGTTGATCTCAGCTAAGATGTAATAAACAATTACTCTAGACTTTATTGGTCAAGTGACAATGAAAAGTTAGAAGTTTATATTTTTTAAATTTAACTTTTGAGACTAGAAAGTAGGAATTAACCTATTTGAAATCTAAACAAAAATTTAACGCACTAATCACTTTTTGTTTTACCAAAACACAATTATATAAATAATCTAGTCACACGTTACGAAATGTCGTTTTATGTAACTCGTTTATTTTGTATGACCTCACTCTGCTCGTGCTGCAAATATTCACTCGTTACATAAAATTGGGAATTTCGTAACTGGTGGCATAAATAGCTATTATCGCATTTAAATTTCATTTTTTTGTACCTCCTGCGATGCTTTTACATAGAACTAGCTATTAAGTAGTAATTACCAAATTATATAACCTTTAATCATACCTTGAAATGTTTGAAAGTGTGTTTTTCAGATACTTTTCGTGGTAGATGCAGAAAAAAAGTTACTATTTTTAATTCTTTCTGCTTGTGAAGTCACTGACGATGGGGTCTATTCTGTAACAATTCCTTTGGGGTCTATTCTAACGGCCTTTTAAAATATTTTCGTATTCGTTAATTTACTTCTGTCATTATTTAAACAGATTTCTTTAAGATAGTCCTCTAATGTATTTTAAAGATCCGTTTAAATAATGACAGAAGTAATGTAGTAAATCCGAAAATATTTTTAAAGGCCGCTAATATTTTAACGGATTATGGGGTCTATTCTGTAACAATTCCTTTATATTTAACGGCCTTTAAAAATATTTTCTTCTTTACTTCTGTCATTATTTAAACGGATCTTTAAAATACATTAGAGGACTATCTTAAAGAAATCTGTTTAAATAATGACAGAAGTAAATTAACGAATACGAACATATTTTTCAAGGCCGCCAATATTTTTAAAGGCCGTTAAATATAAAGGAATTGTTACAGAATAGACCCCTATATTTAATGGCCTTTAAAAATATTTTCTTCTTTACTTCTGTCATTATTTAAACGGATCTTTAAAATACATTAGAGGACTATCTTAAAGAAATCTGTTTAAATAATGACAGAAGTAAATTAACGAATATGAACATATTTTTATAGGCCGCCAATATTTTTACAGGCCGTTAAATATAAAGGAATTGTTACAGAATAGACCCCAATGGAATTGTTACAGAATAGACCCCGATAACAATTGTCAAAATAAATATCGGAACATACTCCAAACGTCACGATCTCGTTAGTTGACAATTGACAACTACAGTTTATTTTGAAGTTTGACAAATAATTTTGTTGTGTTCTGTGCTGTGCTCAAGTTTGTTGCTTGAAGAAAAATGGCAGAGCCCGAATTGAATGTAGACAGTTTAATACAAAGATTATTAGAAGGTAACTATTCAAATTTTAATTAAATTCTTTATATTCTTTAGCACCTACTAAAACCGTAATCTTCAAATTTGCATGATTTACCGATCCAAACAATGTTGGTCGTATCGTTATGATGTATCTGTCATTTCCATATTTTGCACATATTTTCTAAAAAACACACAGCTGTAAATAGATTTTAATATTATAGAATTAATTTCCTAATGCGGGTGATGTTCTTTCGTGAATCGTTTGAGCTTGAATGAACAAATTTATGTACCTAGTTGTATTGTAAATCATTATAGTTTGCCTGTTTATTTTGTGCTGCTTTTGATGTGTGGGGTAAAAAATTATTAAAAAGGGTATGAAGCTCAACAAGAAACTCAGCAGGATGTCAAGAAAAAATCGAAAATTAAAGATATTTTTACGCTTTCTGAAGGTAAGGACACTATATTTTAATCTTGTATGTGTGACTAGTGATTTGGATTTAATAATGTCATAGCAGAACTATTAATTAGTTATATACATACTGTGGCACGATGTGATAATTCGAGAAATTATTCCAGTACCTGCCTAGTAAAAATATTTTAGATAAGTGCTTTGTCATAAGTAAATACATAAATATGTAGTTTTTAAAATGTGCATGTATATATAAAATATTGTTCTGCTGTGGTACTTTATATAAACTAGTTCATTTTTGCAAAATTACTTGTGTTAGGTAAATGGTGTTTAATCTATATTGTTTTAAAAATAATTTGTAATGTTTTGCTTGAATACGTATTGTTTATTTGCATGTTGTAGTAGGTATACATACTTGTGATTATTTAAATATTGAATAATGTTGGGTTCAATAGTGTTATCTTAATACCAAATGAGATCATCCTTATCAGTTGTCTAATGAACTACATCTTGATTTATTTATGTACCTACATGGCAGAACTGAAAATAATTAAAATTTTATTTTATTTGACCCCTTTTTGTTCTTAAGTCGTTTATAAGCCAACATTGGAGGATATTTTAACATCTTAAATTCCTTATGTTTAATATTTTATTAAGATTTTAATTAACAGGTATGCTATCTGATTCCATTAATTTTCTATTAAACTATTATTGAATAAATTAACAACTAATGATAATTCACTTGCAGTCATTGAAATTGTAAACATTTTCTGTAAAGGAGGAAAATTTATTAAACAATAATTTACATACATTTATGCTAAATTTCTTTTCGCATAAATAGGAAAAAGTGTTATGTTGTCCTAAATCTCCATATTTATTCTTTAAATCCACAAAATATTAGGGTACCTATTACTTTAAAACAATCAAGTGTTTTCTGTTAAATTTAATCTATAAGATTTCTTTTAATAACTGTTTTTACCATCTTGAAAATGTATGATATAAACAGTAAATTCTACCAACTAAATTGTTTCCATGAATAAAATCAATATACACTGACCTTGAAACTAAACAAGATTTATTATGCATAATCTTCATATAATTATTAAATAATGCACAATGTGTAACAAAATAATTTATGAATCGACCAAAATCAATATTTTGAAGTTATATTGGCATATAGTTTCAGACCAAATTGATAATTTTATTGTATGAATAGAATTGGTTTGACCCCAGTTATATTATTCCCACATTGTCATAATGACCTTTTTTATATTGTCCTGAAAAATCGTTTTTATTAAATTTTTATTTAATAAATAATTGATAAGGAATCAGTTTATTTTTTTTTACACCTTACAATAATTGATAAGTATCTGCAAGGTGGATGAAGTGTTGCTCCCCACATCACTTAGGCTTCCCTAGGCCCATTATGACCCTATTTAAAATTATGTTAATTTCAACATGTTAAAATAACAGGCTGTAACTCTAATTTATTAATGTAGTTTTTAGAGAGTTATTGCAAGTTCACTTAAGGTCAGTCACTATTAGTGCGGCTCTTATTTTGACATCTGAGCATGCACAGATCACTAACTTTAATAAAGATTGTGCCTGTCCTTAATAAGAGAGTTATTAAAAGTTCACTTAGGGTCAGTCACTATTAGTGCAGCTCTTATTTTGATATCTAAGCATGCGCAGATGTTTATGTTCTAAAACTGACTTTATTAAGGATTGTGCCTGTCCTTAATTGTGGATGTTTAAGGGCAGCAGGTAGTGGTGACTTTATAGCTTTGGGATGCGCTCGCCGACATTCGTATCCGTTAGAAGTTTTTTAATATTAAATATTTAATATAATCGTCATTTAAACCTTTTAAAATTATAATTTATAATGCCTCTTTAATATTATGTACTATTATAGAATTTATTTGACTCTAACTACGATGTCACTATTAGTGGCTGGCTTTATAGAAATTTGCAATATCTCTCTATTAAGGACAGGCACAATCTTTATTAAAGTTAGTGATCTGCGCATGCTCAGATGTCAAAATAAGAGAGGCACTAATAGTGACTGACCTTAAGTGAACTTGCAATAACTCTCTACTACCTATTTAGTATCTGTTATTTAAAAAGTATGATTCATATTGTAACTTGACAAACCGGGTCCTAACCTAGTTTTTCAAATACCCTTAACCTTGGCCTAAATTTCGTCTAGTGGATACCCACGAAGTGATGGTAAAACCCCCAGAATTACTTTTAGAGTTAAATGTGGCTGCAATGGAGGAAGAACAAAGAAAACACCAAGATTAATTTTGAATACTGTTTATTTAACATCTATTCTTTTGTACAGCCGGACATTTAGTTTATGTGCCGTTTTTAGGCTTAACATTATGTTTATGTAGGTTTTCCAATGTGTCATTTCTAACCTCAGAGCTTTTAGTTCCCATAAAAGGGTAAAATAAAAGTCGGAAGTACTTTGGTATATTTGTTTGTCTCCTAATATACAATCACACGTTTCCACGGAAATACTGAATTACGCATTGTCTAATAAAAGAGAGTACAGCGGTAGCACGGGGAGTTCAGGGAGATATAAAATATTGCGTCGAATTGAGAACCTCCTCCTTTTTTGAAGTTGGTTAAAATTATTATTGCTAATATGTGTAAAAACTGGAGTGTAGATTTACCTCACCGTGCGTCACGCCTTTCTCTAATATTCCAAGGCCGTAATGTACTGACATACTCAGTCCTGTATTGAAAAAACTGAACAGTCGATCGGAGAACACCTGATATAAAGGGGGGTGCCCGTCAGGCCCACTTTTGGAGTATCTCAGTAGAGATCCATCCAAGCCTCTATCAGGCTTTAATTTACATAGCCGCAAGGGAAATACCATTTTTAGGCCCTTACTATTGAGGTATGGTGGCCTAAGGCGTCTTTTTCGGTACGATGCTCTTTTGCTCTGTCAATTGACAAATCAGTGTTAATAATCACAGTTCTGAGGATACGTTAGCTAGTCCACAAACACAATTTCACCTATTTATTCTAAATAAATAACAAACATACCGACTACTTCCGCGTAATGTCCCGCTAAAGATATGTGGATATGTACAAATAAATACGACCCTCCTCAATATTCATGATTCTACCCGCCGCTGTACATATCTCCGTTTTCCCGAAAAATCGATACACAAAACTAACACTCCTTATGGCTAAAATGACACATTTGTCTACCCAATTTTGTTTTACAAAGAACGACAGAAAACATTTTTTTTTTACCACAATCTAACTTTAAAATATATACAAATCAAGGCATTTACCCTACTAATCTACATCTGTTTGCCATTTAAAAATAAAACCGAAAGTGCGTTTCCTCTCTACTGTAAGGAGCAGGGCTGGAACTCTGTGTCATGTAGAATTCTACTTATCGCTTTCTACAATAGATTCTTTTGTGGCACTCTTTGTAACATAGCGGAAAACCAACGAGTATATTCTTACTACAGGATAACTAGTTTCATAAGAAACCACATTACGATATTTCCCGTTCGGTTGATAACGTATTTATCACAAAAGAAAGTAATCGATTCCATTGTAGAAAGCGATAAGTAGAATTCTACATGACACAGTGTTCCAGCCCAGGTACTGTTTACAGACAACCAAAACTTTACATCGGCCCTTTGGCCATAAATCTAAATGACTTAATTTATTACTTGAGAGCGTTGACCGATTTTACAACAATTAATATTTAGGACAACAACACTATCGATTCTCTAAATAGTATAATTTAGCACAATATAAAACCCTGTAATTTTTCCCGCAATAAACGTTTATCAAGGAATACCAAAAATATGACAATAACACACAGACGCGAATTTTCTCGCTAATGAATATAAAAATAATAAAGTGATACCTGTAACCCATTAACGTTAGTCTCTTCTCTCCCCCGGAATATATGAATATTAAATACTAGTTTGATTACTTTAATAGTGCGATTATCGTTTTAATTCTACGTAAAAAAAAAACCTTACAAAAAAAAGTATACCGCTGATAAAAGGTCTACCGGGCGCAAGTTCGTCGGGTCAGCCTTAAGGGTGACGAAATCCACTACGAACGTCGCCTAGAGTAGTACTTTTAATCATTTAGTAACATTTTATAATGTTGAATTGGAGATATAAAATATCTGGCGTTTAACTAGACTAGCGTGGTATCACCAGTATTAGTTACGCCAATGTTTTAGTCGCTCGGTAGATACAACTTTACAAAACAGTTCTAGGAGCGAAATCTGTTTCTATTCAACGTGTATCTGCTTGGTCAACCTGACTATATATCTCCTTTTACTTATATATAAAATATAAGAAAAAGGTGGTCATCCTAAGGACAACTGGATATCTATGAAGACGCCGTCGTTTATAGAAACTAATTTCTCTACTCCGTCGATGTCTTTTATTTCCGTTCTCAAAATATAACAAAAGCGCGGCCACCGTAAGGGTAGCGATATCTCTTTTTAATTATATTTGAAGAATATAAAGAAAAAGGAGTCACCGTGGCGGTAACGTGGATATTTGCGTTTTTTTGTTAACTTGATTTGGCGAAGATAAAAAAGCTAATCCCCCAGCCCTCAAAAACCCCGGTATTTATACTTAAATTTCCCATATATGCAAATGTATCAGAAAGAGAACGACTGTGACTTCGGTGTATAAAGACTATAAAGCCCTGTATTAATTCCTGAATATAGCCCTAACGTCTTACATCTGTTTTGTTTTAGCGCCGTTAGAGTCGACTTCTTTTCCCAGAAGTAATTAAACGGCGCCTACGAGGCGGGATACGCTGGGATGTTTGAATTCGAAATAAAAATTTGAATATAATATGTAATATATAAGAATTATTTAAATTAATTATCAACCCCCGGTTGTCGGATTTCAATATCCCTCTTGATTAAATGGGAATTAACGAAATGCTTTTTGCAAAATAAATATAAGAATGTTGGTGTTATCTCTAAAACTATTGCAGATAGTACAGGGAAGGAATATCTAGCTTGTTTGAAATGGTTTTGAAATATGCTTCAAATAACGTTAAAATATACGGATTGTTATATTTATAATAATGAAGTTTTTAGTGTTTAAAGCTACGTATAGTAACTATTTCATAAACATGCTGTATAATATTTTTAATCAGTAAGTATTTATACTCAAAATTTACCTCAAACAATCAATTCAAAATATTGAGAAATTTGCAATATATTTGCATTTTTTGAACACCACATATTTTTGAAAGAAAACCTATTAAAAAATGATAGACTCTAGATATAACAAACTTTTCACACAATTTTTCTTTGTAGATTTTAAAAATGAAATAAATTACAGGGTGTCCCATTTAAAAAACTTAACTTTGGTATGATTTACTTTACTGGAGCACCATGTTTAATTGAAATTATTTTCAAATACGCTAGTTCAGTGATAATGTACTTATGGTTCCACTGACAATTAAAGTGACAGTAGATTTTTTGAGTGCGTTTTGTTTGTTTTGATTACCTAAATTATATCGTTTTTTTACTTTTATAGATATATTCCTAAAGTAAGTAGATAACATGCATCAAATATACAATCGTTTAGTTACCAATTACATACCTTTAAACAATTTTTTAAGACCTGTAAACAATATTTTGAAATAAACTAAAAACAGTAAAAACGTATATGTCAAATTTATTGAAGTTTTTGTTAAAAGTTTGGTTAGAATTAAATGTCAGTGGAACCAAAATGACATCACACTGAACTAGCGTATTGTTGTCTTTTCTGATATACAGCGTGTCCCATGTTACACAAAAAACTAAACTATAGGTTAGGTACCTCAAATATTGATATGGTTTTTAAATATTGGTAAAAGTTGGGATATTAATACTTTGGGGAATTGTTATTCTTGGCAGAGTAGAGTTAAATCTGGCATAATCCATATTACCTGAGCGAAAATGGTAAGGTATGAGTTGGAGTCAGAATATTTTCCTAGTATTTTATTTAGTTTCATAAGAATACTAGTCATTGGGTGGTATGCATAAAAAGTAGTACATGCTAATGCTAGGTGAAGAAGTATCTTCTACGTAAAATGGCATAATCCGTATTACTGTGAGCGAAAATGGTAAGGTATGAGTTGGAGTCAGAATATTTTACTAGTATTCTATTTAGATTCGTAAGAATACTAGTCGTTTGTCAATTGTCATGGAATATGTAAAAACTACAAAAAGAAAACATCATTAAAAACCTATATTAAGACAATTTTTATATACATGCATGTTATATAACATTAAAAATATAAAAAAAGAGTTACATAATAATAATAATAATAATAATAATAATAATAATATCCCTTTATTTCAAATAAATATGCATAAATATATAACAGTTAAAGGCCCCGAGCAGATGCTAAGTGTGCCAAACAGATGATGTTTAAAAATCAGTAAAGATAAACTAGTTTTAATTGTATTTGGTAAATTGTTATAATTTACAAACCCTTTAAAAAACAAAGAATTCATAGAGCTCTTTTTATTAGTTTTAGGACATTGTTATTTTGTCTTTTATCGTGGTTATGTATATTGACGTTAAAATTTATAAATTCAAAAAAGTAGGTTGGTGCCACTTTAGGAACAGCACTGTTAATTAGAACCCAACAGTGAATGGTCGAGTGGGGAATCCTACCAAGGCATCAGAATTAATTTTAAATAATTAAATTAAATGAAAAAATTCCTGCCAACGGTGGGATTCGAACCTGAGACCTTCCGATCTCAAAGTCATGACTCTAACCACTGAGCCAACCCACCCCCCCATGTTCTATGTTATCTATAAAATAATTATTAAATTTGTTGACAATTTAATTTTCGTCTCTTTCCAAATTTGGCTTATTATTAAAACTAAAATCAACAACATTAGGAAAATTTTGCTTTTTATCATTTATTAGATTTTTAACGTTTTCCACATAAATTTAGAATAAATTCAAAATCGGATGAAGAGAAAATCACCAAATTTTAAACTTAAGCTTTAATGCATCCTGAGGTGAACTGATTAAAGTTTGGGCATAGTCGAAGCATCTGGGGAATATTTTACAGGGTGTCGTTTTTTTTTACTTTAAAAAAATAGTCATGACCGTATTTTCTTATTTTTGAAAGAGTAAAACCAAATTTGGTAGATTTTCACACTTTTATTTTAAAAATGAAAATTTTTAAAAAAACACTAACATGACATATGTTTCGAAGTACAACTTCTTTTTCAAATAATTTAACAAAACAAAGTACTTAAGAAAACATCAATAACATTACAAAATAAACTAACTATTTAAAGTAAATAAGGGTACTTAGGTAATTATAATATCCATCAGATAACAATAAGATAGCCCATTACCGGGATTATCTCACAGAAAACTGGGAAAGAGATTTAATAAGGGTGAATTATTAATATCTAATTGATCATTTAGTAAGTTATCTGAATTTTTAAATCTATTTTCTTAGGCAACCCATTTGCGGTATATTTATAAACAAATTATATTTAATAAAAAGAAACTTTCATCCGTTAAACATATGGGTGAAGGTCGACCTTACTTCGGATCTTAGACCCTACTGTTTTATTAAACTGACAACTATTCAAAAATATCAAATCATAGTATGTAATAAATATACAGGGTGTTCCTAAACATCGTGCACATACGAAATGAGGTAATTCTTTGGCTTATTTCATGACTAACAGTTCATATATACATTGGTCCGCAAACGCTTCGTTACCGATCTACAGGGTGTTGAAATTTCAAGAATTTTCTTATTTTTTTCTTTAGAACTCCTGCAGTTTTTGAGATATTTAGCTCAAATTTGGAATCTAGATTACGTTATAGGGCATACATTATTGGGTATGTCAGATAGGTAGTTGTTGAATCTACAGGGTGATATATTTTCAGGAGTCAAGGTCCCTTTTCTCCCCCTGAACTTTTTTGCTGTGCGCCGCTGGAAGATTCTAGAATACAAAATGAATTTTCGTTTTCGTTTATGCGACCATAATCGAGAAAAAAATTAAAAACTTTTCTGTAGAAAAGATTATTTTACAATACAAAAAACCTAAATTATATCTATTAAACTACATTACAACAAATGTTGAAAACGACGACTCGTCAGGCGGCAGTTTGACCATTTTTATTTATTTTTTATAGTAAGGGGTATGCGACCCGGCAAATCGGTCCACATGACCGAGGCCGAGGTGCGCGGCTTGTGCCTCAAGTCGCGCGAGATCTTCCTGCAACAGCCGATCCTACTAGAGCTCGAGGCGCCCCTTAAAATCTGCGGAGACATCCACGGCCAATACACCGATCTGTTGCGTCTTTTCGAATATGGAGGATTCCCGCCGGAAGCAAACTACCTTTTTTTGGGAGATTATGTCGACAGAGGCAAGCAGTCGCTGGAAACGATTTGTTTGCTGTTGGCTTATAAGATCAAATATCCCGAGAATTTCTTTTTGCTCAGGGGTAACCACGAATGCGCTTCTATTAACAGGATTTACGGATTTTATGACGAATGTAAGTATAAAATGTATATTGTGATTAATAGATCGACAGGAATAGCAATAGCTGCGACATGCGTCAAATTGAGTCAAGACGGAAAGAACGATTTATATCGCTTTGCCATTTTTTTTTAATTTACTATTATGTATTATATATGCTTCGTTTGAATGTCCACTTCAGATGATCACTTTTATATTCATGCTAGCATAAACAAAAGATAAATCGACAAAAACTGAACCTGCATTTGACAGAACACCTACTTTCTAGCACGTAATAAATTCAACAAAAAAATAAGGAGTTTGACAATCACCACTACATCTCATTCGCATCTTATTTCAAATCTAGATGTAAAAAATGTAATCTGGATAGCTACATCTTGAAGAAACAAATGCAGATGTAATAGATGTCGTGTGGTGTGAATAAACAAACGCCCCAAAGGAAAAAATTTGATGTGGATATTCAAGCATAGCAAGCTTCGTTCGCGATAAAAATCCTGAACTTATTCTGAATTAACAGTAAGTTTTCTCATGCACAGTAGTTAAAACTGGCCCTGAATCAGTTATTTTGATGCTTGGAATACTGAGATATAATAGAGGTTGTGTTCGTGGTAATAATTCAAAATTGATAATGAATCGGACATGCGTTCAAAATATGAAATATTTCTTAATTAGTTCATGATTATTTCCGCGAACAAAACAATTATATTAAATTTTTACGGTTTAAAACTTTACTACTTTTTTCAACTGAACAGTATAAAATCTAGCAACAGATTGAACTAGAAAATAAATATCTAAAAATGTAATGGGCATAATAAGATAAATAAATCATAATATAGACAATAGCGAGTTATTTATCAAATTCAACATTCTTCTATTTAGGGTTATTTATAGAAGTTGACATAATTAATATTAGATATGATTTTGTACGCACTTATATTTAGCAGTCTAATGTATTAAGATCCTAGTGATAACTTCAAAAAACCCGAACGTACTGAGCTCCACATATGACCTTGGCAGCTTCAGCCATATCTGTCATACTATACAATGTATTATTTTGGAATTTTCTTTGGTTCTCTTCATATTAAAATATTTTTAGGTAAAAGGAGATTTAATATAAAATTATGGAAAACCTTCACTGATTGTTTCAACTGCTTACCGATCTCAGCGATAATTGACGAGAAAATATTCTGCTGTCACGGCGGCTTAAGTCCGGACTTACAGGGAATGGAACAGATCAGACGAATCATGAGACCAACAGACGTACCCGACACAGGTACCGTTGATCAAATTTGTCTTGTAGTGTGTGTATTTTTTTAATATTGTTTCTATTTTTCTTTCCTAAGGGCTCCTGTGCGACTTACTATGGTCAGATCCGGACAAAGACGTCCAAGGATGGGGGGAGAACGATCGCGGTGTTTCGTTCACGTTCGGAGCCGACGTCGTCAGCAAATTTTTGAATCGCCATGATCTGGACTTGATTTGCCGAGCGCATCAGGTCGTCGAAGATGGTTACGAATTTTTCGCTAAAAGACAATTGGTCACTTTATTCTCGGCTCCGAACTATTGCGGGGAATTCGACAACGCAGGGGGGATGATGAGTGTCGACGAGACACTCATGTGCTCTTTTCAGGTAGGAATTTTTTATATATGTTAACAGAAGGGATGTATCATCCCTAATAAAAATGTCTAAACTGCTTTTTAAATGGTTTAATTTACTATAAGGTATTCTCAATTACAATGTTAATGTGGTATTACCAGTATCTGGAATTACAAAATACGAAAACAACTACTGTTATGACTTATGAACATTATCATTAAAGTTCTTTTTAGATGCTAAACCATTAATTACTCTTTCAATTAATGTTGGTGGGATTGCCACCATTGCAGTAAACATAGTGGGATCGCCACTAGTCATTCTTTCAGTCAACATTGGTGGGATTGCCATATTACCATAAACATTAGTGGGATTGCCACTAACTACCTTTTCAATTAACGTTGGTGGGATTGCCACTATTACAGTAAACATTAATGGGATTGTCACTTATTACTCCTTCAATTAATGTTGGTGGGATTGCCACCATTACAGTACACATAGTGGGATTGCCACTAATAACTCTTTCAATTAATGTTGGTGGGACTGCCACCATTACAGTAAACATAGTGAGGTTACCACTAACTTCCTTTTCAATTAATGTTGGTGGGACTGCCACCATTACAGTAAACATGGTGGGGTTGCCACTAACTACCTTTTCAATCAACGTTGGTGGAATTGCCACCATTACTGTAGACATTAGTGGGATTGGCACTAATGACTTTTTTTAATTAATGTTGGTGGGATTGCCATCCTAATACTAAACACTAGTGCTACAACACTAAACACTAGTGCTACAACACCAAACACTGGTGCTACTTTAATATCATGATTTATTTAATTAAATTTGATGGGATTACCGACAACTAAATACTAGTGCTACAACACTAAACATTAGTGCTACAATACCAATCACTGATGCTACTTTAATATCATGATTTATTCAATTAAATTTGCCACCTTTTTTTTTTCGAATATATTTCATTTAATGTTGATATAACTGCCATATTAATAAGTGACTGATTAATAATATATTTATTGCTGTACACCTGTACAAATGGCGTATCAATATCAAACTTACAGACAAAATCTGTACAAAATTATTTGATAAATCGCTGTAATCTACCTCTACTCTACACTGTTATTGCTATCATCCATGTACTGGTTTTTTCTCTCATGAGGAAACTAATGTCTCTAAACTGCAGTGCAGAAGAAGAGATCCTTAATCAGGGGCGGCGAATACATGGGTGCAGCAAGGGATCTGTTTCACCCACAGAACAGTATGTTGAGGTGCATTGCACCTAAAAGTTTTTTACGAGGCTTGTCTAACTTACTTTGCGATAGCACTCCAACCTAATGGCTTATTCTCTGTTGTCATTGGATATGGACGGCATTTATAAAATTAATAATTATACAATTAAACTAAAATTTTGTTAACCTACAAATAGGAGTCGTTGCAGAGTTTTTGGTTAAAAGCATTAAAGTTTAATAATTTTTTACATTTTTGTAGATAATCAAGCCATTGGAGAAAAAATCCAAATAAATTTATTACATCTACATGGATATTCCTAGTCGGAATTTCGAAGGTTTTTCTGAAATCGACTTTAATAACAGGAATTGCATATCAATACATATATTAGAATGGGTTCTATACGCCTGTGTATTTTCTGTAAATAAAGTTTATTTTTAAACGCTTTTTTTGTACAAAAAATACTGGCCGATCAAATATACTAATTATTTGAGCATTTTTGCTATGTGCATAGAGCAACTTTTACATTTATTTTAGGTCTTTTAATACATCTTTTGTTTGTTGTTAAAAATTTTTACATCTTTTGTGTAAACATTATACACTTCCTTTCACAGAATATATATATATCGAAAATATTGGTCATAAATTATACTATTTATTTTGGGGTCAAAAATAGCTCGATTGAACTTTACTTACCTATGTACAAAAATGCACATAAAGTTACAGGTTTAGGTTAAACATTTAAATCAATATTTATAACGTTGCTTTAAAACGGTTTATTATTAATTATGAAAATTTATATGGAAGACTAGTATACTATGTACAATAAATACGTAGTAGCGGCATTCACTTATTTTGATTTTTCCTCATCCTTAGACCTTTAATTTTTTTTAGAGAAATATTTAGCTACTAACGGAACGCCACTGTAATCGCTCTTCTTTTTAAATTTCAATTTTAAAATATTGAATTAAAACTACAGGTTGGTCCAGTTTATATTTTCAGTATTTTACCAGCCAAAAGTTTATCGAAAAACAAAGGTAGTTTGTGTGATAAAACATGGTCAAATTTTGTTTATTTTTGATGTAGACTGTAGTTTTTTTTGTTTTCTAAAAAATGCTTTAGCCGATTTTAATGAAATTTTTACAGTTTGTTGACAACTTTATGAGGTGTCTTTCGGAAATGTTACAATTACAGAGTAATTTACGTAAGTATAGCACTGTCAGTACTCTTTTTTTTTTCAATGGGACACCCTCATTTTATTATTTTTAAAAACTCCTTAATACACTAATTTCGTGATGATGTAATTTTGGTTCCACTGTCAATAGTACACCAGCTCTTGACAGTTGTACTCAATAGTACCTCTTCGTCCAATCCATTTATTGGGAAATATTTCGTTTAGGTAGCTCTTACATGTGCATCATAATGGTACGTTGCTCCACGCCCTGTTAAAACCAAAAATTTTTATTCAGCAGTCTCCGATCTCTTGCATTTGGCTATAAGTCAAAACGGGAACAACATCGTCTCTAATCATATTTAAATATCTTTCGGCTGTCAAATTTCCTTCTCAGCCCAAACATTAATTTTTTGACTTTATTGAGAGTACCTCCCCGTTTAATGTGAAAGTTGATTCATCTGAAAAATAATGTTATTGAGATCTATCTTATTTCTGTCCAGCTTGTTCATATCAGGATCATCTTCTGTTAGCTCCTGAGTAAAAGTTATTTTATATGCATAACGTTTTTATTTATGGAAAAACCATATCCTCTTTTCTGTTTAATCGTTCGAAGTGTCCAAGTTCTGTGAATTCTGCATGGATTTTAGACAATTGCTGATATTTCTGATTAAATAATTTTGCCACTTCCGTTTGACTTCTGCAATTATCCCCATAACCGATCATCATTAATTCGATGAGGTTCATTTAAATATTTCATTACTAATCAATCGAAATAAATTTTCAATTGGGAATTTAATATTTTAATGTAAAATGTCAACACACCAACAATGTTACAAGTAACAGATAACAAATTTACAGATTTTCTGAAGGGAAACGGTCGCTCGTAATTATGTGATATTGGCTTTTAATTTTATTTTATTTTACGTCTTGATCACATTTGAGTTGGAATAATTTTCCTTTTTACAAATTGGTTTTTTGGTTCCATCTAGTTTTATAACTGGGTACTGCTAGCGGCCTTTGATTTTGCTTACTAGGAACAGATGGCGACAGCATTTCGCTACTTGAATTCTTATTCTCTTCGTAACTATTATTATATAATTGAGAAATGTGTAGCATTTGTTAATTCCATTAGAGACAGGAATTGAAAACCTATCTATTTACTGCTGAAGAGTCCTAATAAGTACGAAACCGGTCCAAGAATAACGTTCTCCTTAGTGAGCAAAATCAAAGGTAGTGTTGAAATTTAAGTTCTTTCTCTGCTGCCTTTCCTTTGGATATAATTCAATACCTGTTGCGGTATTAGTCAAAAGAGTAGTTGTTTTCTGATGGAAAACGGTCGCTCGTAATCATGTGATATTGGCTTTTAGTTTTATTTATTTTATTTTACAGATTTTGTTTAATTGTTGCCGTTATCTAGGTAGTTTTTACTTCTTCTGGAGAAAAAACGTTTCTAAAACCAGGATCCATGAACATACCAGGTTTTATTTATTCCTGACATTCACCCAAATACGTTGGTACTTACTCTATTTAACAATATTTAAAGCATAGTGATTTTTTAAATATTTTTGAAATTTCTCCCTGTATTATTCATATATACCATAAATATTATAGTTCGTTAAAGTCAGCTTATTAAGGAGCTTTCAAAATATAAAATGATATAGGGTATTCCTCCATTAAAAAAAAGAATACCGGCAGTTCTAGTCTTAAAAGAATCGTCTTATAGATTTATATTTTCGTCGGAAGAACGTACAATTTAGTTTAAAAGTTGACGTGTCTCAGCGTTTTTTATAATTTTCTAAAATAAGGCCACAGAATAATTTTATTCTATAAGTTGTTTCCACACTGTATATGTTTTTGACGTGAAAAATTCAAAAATTCAATATTTTAAAAATATGTCAAAAAATGACTATATCTTCCAAATTAAGATTTTCACAAACAAATACTAAGGAAATAGTTTTAGAATAGATCTGTGATTCGAGTGGCGTTTCGTTTTTAGCTAAATATTCCTTTAAAAAAAGTTGGGGCTCAAATGGGTGTTGACCTACTCTGAAAACCTATTCGTTCTGTGCGAAGTCATGGAAAGGGAAGCAAAAGCGACACTAGCGCTAGCTGCGGATAATTCGTGCATTTTAGGGGGATATTTTGTAATTTTGGCATATCAAATACACGTATACATTTTACTTTTTTTGAAAAAAGTAGGTAAAAACAACACAATAAGCAACCGGAGTTGCTGTGTTGAAAATTGTACAAATACTAGCAAAAAAGAACAGTAAAACTTATATAACAAATTTCACTAACAAAGTGGAAATTAAATCAAAGAAATAAATGGATAGGTGTACAATAAGAAGAAAAATTACCTTTATTTTTGTGATAATAACAGTAATGCTGGAAATAGTAGACATCAGAAACTAGAAAGTTTTTAAATAAACAATAAATTATCATTTTACGATGTTCTTTAATATCCCTTTATTCTTAAATGTTCATTCAGCAAGGACTAGATTTCAAGATTTCTGCCGTTGATTATAATATTTGGCTGGTATGCAATTTTGTGACTTACTGATCGGAAACCAGTTTTAATCATTCATTCTATGTTTTCTTTAGAACAAAAATGAAAATATAAGTAGCGATCCTTTTTATAAATTTTAACTTCACGCTATTATAAATGGTTTCTTCAATGACAACTTATTAGACTTAGGCAACTTCTCATACATTTTCCAGTAAATACTGTTGCCTGCCTATATTTTATTATTGATTTTTAATGATTATACATAATTTTCTTCAATTTAAGCGTGAAAAATATATAATAATAATAAATTAATGTTTTAATTGTTTTATAAATCCATATACTTTTATTAAAACTAACATATATACTTTTTATTTACGAATTCTATTAACAATTGTATTTGTCAGTATAGGCAGAAATAGTCCTTTAATACCAAAACAAATTGGCGCTGCTGTCGCGCACGGAGCGAATAAAAGATGAATATTAAATAATGTTGCTTCTGAGTATTTATTGTACATTGTGTACTAGTATCCCATATACATTTTCATATATTAATATTAAACCACTTTAGAGCAACTTTAAAAAAATTATTTTAAATTTTAACTTAAAACCCCTGTTACTTTTTGTATGCATAGGTAAGTGAGGTTCAATCGACCAATTTTTGACTCCAGAATATGTAATATAACTTATGACTAATCTTTTCGGGACACCCTATATTTTTTTTATTAATTAGAACATGCTTTTATAATACATACTGGATTTTTGTGTTGTTTTTCCATTCAAACTTTGATGCTAATTCATTCGCATCAGATAACAGTCCTCACATTAGTTTTCGCCTTTGTTTTTATCCTGAATTAGTCTAAAAATATTTCCTAACAGAACTTATCACTTAATTTTTAACTCTGTCATATGCATTCTACATATCTATGAAGAGCCTACAGAGCTGCTACGACTATTACGAACATAGAAAAATCAAGTAGACTTAACTTTTGCAAGAGGAAAATGTGTTTACGCACACCCTGTTTTTGGTCTGCTGGGTAGTGTGGGGTTTGGGACTTAATAACCTCTCTTTTACTGGTCACGGCCGCAGTTGGAACCATTTGTTGATATGTCAGCCATGCCCACCTTCACTATTTTTGAATTAAATCCTTTGCTCACTCTCATTTTTCTTGTTTACTCATGATTTCCTTTATAATGTCATATACCTAGCACCCAGTTTTTTTCGGACCTATACATAATCGAGATGAGGTTTTCTGTATTCAGTACTTCCAGCCTTTCTGTCTGGCCCTCCCTGACCTTCCGCATGCGAAGAAAGTGTGGGTCCAATACCCTTTTTCCCCCTTTCAAGCTTTCGTTTCAGCCTCATACTCTCCCCAATCAGACTTGTGATCAGGCCTGCCTTTCCCCCTCACAGTCTTATTGCACCACCTCTTGGATGCTGTACCCCGTTCCAATCATTCAACTCATGCATTCTACACATACATTCCACTGTATAGATGAGCCCCAAAGCTCTACGAATTTGGTCGCCAATCCAGACCATGGTTGCTACAATTGCTGCTGCGCCTGTGATCGGTGTTTTGAATACCTTTCTCAGCGACCTGGCCTTACGGTCTCAGGAAACGGGTAATATTAAATTGTACTTAACCGTCTCGTTATCAATGCTTTCAGCTTTCACACCCTTTAACACTCCAATCCTCTGTGTTTCTCTTTAACTGTCATTCTTTTTTAGGTTTCTATCTTATATAAGCCTCTACTCCTAAGTAGATATATTCTTCCACCGTTCTAGAACTGCTTACCTGTTCTATATTTTTCACAAAATCTGCATTTATTTATTCATTTGTATTCCAATCTGTATTTTTTCATAACTTCGTATGACGTAGATTTTCTCAAATCAATGTAAAAATACTTAGAAAACATTCAAAGTTTAATACAGATGAAGAGATTAAGAGAAGCTGTCTACATTTTTAAAGAAGAGTGCATCATAGGCTTACTATATTGTCACATTATGATATCTACTTAGTGTCCAAGATCTGGCACTAGAAAGTTCTACTCCCATCTATTATTTTGATTAATATCTACGCCTTCTTCATTTCATATAGTTTATGTTTTTATTTTCTCGCTTCCCTCATTTGTTATTTAAATAAGTGAAGTACCATTTGAAAGTAGGAGCCATATCGTATTTATTCTTTTTCTGGAATAACACAATAACATACTTTATTCGTTTACTTGGAACATTGATTAATTTTGTGATGTATTGTTGAATGTTTGTCAGGTCACACAACAACTACCGCCACCGGGACATAGTTCATGTTGTTCACCCCCCTTCCCTGTACCCAACTACAAATAACAAGAAAAAAACATGACATGTCACTTTTTGTGGTCAGATGAAGGAATATGTGTTTAAATGCATACAAGGTTGTATTTAAGCAGTACCAAATAATAAAATTCCACTAAAAGCGTTTCTCTGGTTTTCCTTTAATGCCTAAACTATTAATCAAAATAACAGATGGATGTAGAACTTTCTAATTCTAATAATGTTTAACGTCTGCCAAACCATTATACTTATTTGTTGCTTTATTTGCATGATAAACAACAATGTAATGTGTTGGGAAAGCCCAAAAGTGTTATACTGTTATGTACCCAATTACCCGATCCCCAATCATCATTCCTTCAATTAATCAAAAGCTGGATCCAGTATGTATTAGATGCATGCATCGTAAGTCACCAAAATCTAATTCTACGTTTCGTCGCGACTGACTCGTATTTTATTTTGCAGATCCTGAAGCCGTCTGAGAAAAAAGCGAAATACCAATATCAAGGAGTGAACTCCGGCCGCCCGGCCACGCCTCAACGAAACCCCCCTCCCAACAAAAAGAAATAGAACTCCCCCGTTCCTCATCTCTTAATTGACATGACTTATCGCCCTTTGTCCTTATACAGATATTTTGAATTGATTTCATAATGTTGCCCCGTCGTTGATGGTTATACATTTTTAGATTTAGAGTTTATTAGTTGTACCCCCCTCCCCACCCCCTACGTAGAGTATAAATACTGGTCTAATCGTGTCAGGAATATGTGTATATTATTTAATTTTTATTAGAGTTTATGTTGTTTGATGACTGATTTTTTTTGTTGGGGTAATTTTGTTTTGAACCAACTGATTAAATGTTTGCGTTTTTAAAGCCATATTTTTGGAAAATAAAGATACAAATTGATTTTGAAATATGTTTATTAAGTTTTAAAATATAGGATGTTTCATTGGGAAATGCGGGTACGTTAAAAGTAAATAGAAAAGTCGATCAAGTTGGGTTTAATATTCCGATGAGAGCCTGTCGCAAAATATTGAATTAAAAAGTTATTAATTGCTGAACATCAGGCTAACCATGATACAAACAATGGCAACCCTAGATAATGCTAAATATAGGAGGCTGTCAGCTTTAATAAAAACTAGGGTTACCTTTATTTACACTCCAAAAACGTAACACCAAAGTATGTGTTATTTTGACCTCCACGTAAGACCAAACCACAGTTGATCTAATGTTTAGCAGTTAACTAGTGAGCCAGTCGTATGTCATTTCTGCACCTTGTCATCTGCATATAGTAAATTGCTTGACTATAAGTTTCCGTATCCTAATATGAACTTTTATTATCTAAGGGCCGATTTTTTACCTCTGAGTAAAGTTATATGTATGGTTACTTTAATATATAGCCCAATTACCAAGTAGTTACTTTCAATTTTACTCACAGGTAAAAAGATTGACCATTGAACGGATTATTTGTGAAATACATCAAAATATTTAAATCATTAAATATTTGCCTTTAAAATATGCACATTTCTCAATGAAACACCCTGTCTCACAATCCAATAGCAATATATACCAAAACGGTGCATTTAAATGTTTTAAAAATGATTCAATTTATTGACTTGTTTCGAAACGAAATCACCATCTTTTGGCGCGCTGACTGAAAGCTTATTGTATTATTTTTATTCTTCTGATATCAAATAATAATAATTATTTTTTAGTATGTGTACATAAATGTAATCTTGTGTTAGCAATTGTTCCGAACGATGTGCCCGACCGGAGTGCCGCATTGCTCCCTACTTGGACCGTTCCGCTAATGCCAGCTCTATTTTAAAGTAGATTTAGAGACGGTGCTGACTAAATATGTGTTTATTTTCGCAGCTAGTGTAGATAGAGCGCAGATTATCCGGTGTATTGAGGAAGGTTAACATTTTTAATAGAGCCAATTGAGCTGACCCCAAAAAATGGAAGAGGCAGATTATTATTTTAGGCTGAATTAAAAAAATATTGGTTATTATTTGGTAAACCCTAGACCAACCATGGTTGCTCTTGATTTATGCAGACGTCAAAATAATAAAATTCGGTGTTAATTGTTGGAGTGAGTGTACAACAAAGGCAATCCTAGTTATTATTAAAGCTGATAGCCTCCTCTTTAATAATACGTAGGGTTGCCTCTGTTTGCACTCGCCACAAAACTGTAGCACTGACACTTGTTTTTATTTTGACGCGTGCGTTAAACCAGAGCAAATTATGGTTGGGTTTGTGTTAAGCAATTAGTAACCTATATTTTTTTAATCCGACCGGCTTTTATTTTATAAAAATGCTTTTCAAAACTATGAACAACGCCCGAAACATCCAGATTACTCGGCGCTCTACTGCAATTAGTTTTATTTGTAAATAACAGTATTAAAAGTAATTTTAAGATGCTAATGAAGGACGATCCAGTGAAATTATCGATTTTTCGACATCCTTTATAGTTAAAACGTCTAGAATATGGTTAAAAAACCGAAATTCCGAATTTGAAATTCAATACGCTTCATTTGGGACGTCCCGTACATTTAGGTGTGTGCCGCAAGGTTCAGGTTCGGGGCCGAAATTGCCGAATTATAGAGCTTAATTTTGTTGGTCGTATTTTCTGCTTATATATACTCTCTATCTCTCGCCTAACATGAATTGGTCCTACCTAAAAATGGCAGGCGAATTGTAGACACTAAATTGTTTTTCTTAATAGTAGTTGTGAAGAGCATTTAATGTGGAAAGTTTATTTTTGTCTGTGCACGATTTTGTTGATTAATTACATTTTTTTAAAAATGAAATTGTTTTTAGTTATATTTTTCTTAAAAATTTCATCTTTTTCATTCGTTATTTCATCCATCAGAGTCCATTCATCATATAATATTTATTTATAAATAGGGTGTTTCATCAAATTGTATGCATTTTATAAAGCAGATAGAAATATGCTGTTACAGTAAAATTCGTTTGTCTGAATTTGAATCTACGTAATGTCCTGTTTAAAAGGACCAACTCTGGATAACTTTTTTTTAGGTAGTAGTAGCAAATATATTAATTGTTAGATCACAATGCATTTTTTTGGTTCTGAGCTGTGAGACCGTTAAAAATTTATTTTTCATCGCTTCTTTCAGTGAAGACGGTGAAGTGATATGTCAAGTATCATAGCTCTTTTACGTGGTGTGATCTCGGGTGAAATAACTGTTTTTAATTCTGCCATAATAGAGGACTTCTATACAAGTGCAACCAACTTGACAAAATAAAATTGACACTAATGACATAAGAAATCGGGTCACATAAAGAGGCTGTTTTTTTGTTTTTCTTATCTACTTTTGTGCCCTTTACATACCATATTGTACCCGTAACGTAAAAAAGACTTTTTATTTTAGGGTATTTTATATTTAAAGGTTGAAGACATTTATCAATATCAGCTGTCGATAATGTCAAAACATAAGCGTAGCATTGCGATTTATTTTTTTATTGTTAATAGTCTATTTGTGTTTTTCCTGGTTTCTTTAAACATGTTTTTCATTTGGTTTTATATATTTATGTCAAATGCAAAAATGCTGCTGCTACAAATACAAGTTCCATACACTATACAACCATATACAATACTAGTTACGTTATGCCCATCTATGGTTACGCCTGTGTTCTACCAACAAAATAATTGACAGCTGACACTGACAAATGTTTTCAACCTTTAGATATAAAATACCCTAAACTAAAAAGACCTTTTTACCATACGGGTACAACATGGTATGTAAATGGCATAAAAGTATATAAGAAAAACGAAAAAGTAAACTAAAAAACAGCCTCTTTATGTGACCCGATTTCTTATGTCATTAGTGTCAATTTTATTTTGTTAAGTTGGTTGCACTTCTCTTGTATAGAAGTCCTCTATTGCATCATTTTGTGACCGTAGGTTTGATAAATCAGAAGAAAAAGCATATCTGAAAAATTTAAACATAAAAACCACATTGACATACTTGAGTTGTTTCTACTTACTTCTCTATCCTGATGGATCCAGTTTTCTCTTACGGAATTTTTCTGGTCAATTGGAATTTGCACGTTTGGAACCTAAAATTGTGATCAGAACAACTAATTTTTTTTTTTTCAAAAGCTAGAAATCGTATGATTTGAAACTAGTTCCTTCCTATTTTCAATATGATATTCGTGAGTCATAAAACTAAAAACCATTTTGATGGGTAATTAAGAAAAGTAAAAAAAAACCACCAGGTAAAGTTAAAAGTAAGAATTGAAATCACCACCAGGGTTTCATGTGAACAGTAAAGAGTTAATTATTTATTATAAACGAACCATTGCATTGGTCGAAAGGAAATCCAATTCCTTTTATGTCAAACATCACTCCAACGAAAGTTATCCACGGTCGTATTTTTAAATGAGGCATCCTGTAAATATTTTTTTTCCTTAGATGCGCATTTGTATTCTTTATTTAATCCAAGTTTTAACACTGCATGGATTTGAATATACAAATTTTTTAAAAACATGATCTCTATATTTATATTCGTGTGATTGCTAGACTAACCAAATTGATTTAAAACTAATAATTTTAAAACATTATTAACAATATAAAGGTGTTCCCTCAGGATTTTTTTTTACTTCACATATATTTAGTCTACATATCGTCGTCAATATCACGAAGTGACGTAACTCGATTTTCACAACTTTACAAGAGAGGGTTTAAAAGTTTTTTATAAAGTTATGTCTCTTTGTAAAATTATCAGATACACACGGTTAGATAAGTGCTATTTTAATGAATGTAATGACTTGAGATACGCAATGTCGTGAAATTGTAGAGCATACTTTTTTACATAATATGTGACTTATCACAATTTACAATTTTTCGAGTTACGTCACTTCGTTATATTTACCAGGATATAGTGTCACAGTTTATATATTTTGTTCGATAAAATAATATGTACGTACTGATTATTGAACCTTGGTATTATGCACGGTCAGTTTTTTTGGCTAAATTTTATATATTCTGTGCAGTGTTTCAGGAATGACTTAATTAAGGTGAACGCCCATTGTTAGTTTTTTTTATAGAGTTTCAAATATATTCTAGAGTTCAAATGTTTGTGGAACTTTTCACAGCACCTGCGTAATTGACGTACTATGTTTCTGTATTATTTTAAATTTAATATTTTATTATACTTGATAAAATATTTAGATTATATTGACCATAAGAATATATCTATATTACTAGATTGCGTTTTATTTCAATAAATAACGTCTAGATAGGTACAATATGACCAGCGAAAATTGGCAGGTTAGATGCGTACAAGAAGAATAAACAAAAAAGGGTGTTCTGACCCTCCTGGAATGAGTTCTGTCTCTCCTGCAACTAGTTCTTTCCGATGTAAAAGACTAAAGGCAGACTGAAGAGTACCAAGTGTGTGTGGCGAGTTTGGGTGGCCTTTTTGGTGTGATACAGTACTCGCTATCTAGGAAGAAGTTGAGCAGATCCTAAAATTCGTCTTTCTCCGCCCATATTTATGTTGTTAACGCCAATTCAGGATTATGCGTAGCGAAGCGAGGGACAAGTGTT